CTTGTGCGCACCCTGCAGGGTCAGTGCCTGCGCTTGGCGGAAAGGGAGGTTGCTTCTGGGTCTGGCGCCCGAAACGCCACCGAAGTACTACGGTGCAGGCTGGAGGTGCGCACCCTGCTGGGTCCGTGCCCGCGCCCGCGCTTTACAGGCAGCGGGGTCGCTTCTCGGATTGGACCCCGAAAGGCGCACCGAAGTGCTACCGTGCTGCAGGCTGGAGGAGCGCGCTCAGGAGTGTAGCCTCGGGGCCAACCCTGCTCACCTCCAGCTTTGAGACGGCCTGTTTCAAACCAAATTTTGCTCTGAAGTCACGGGAACTCTTCCCTACGGCCTTTCCTTGGGGGGTGGGGGAGGGGTCTTGTGCGCACTCTGCAAGGTCTGTGCCTGCGCTTTGTGGAAAAGGAGGTTGCTTCTGGGTCTGCCGCCCGAAACGCACCGAAGTACTACCGTGCAGGCTGGAGGTGGTCGCCCTGCCAGGTCGGTGGCCACACTTTACAGGAAGCGGGGTCGCTTTTCAGATTGAACCCCGAAAGGCGCACCAAAGTACTACCATGCTGCAGGCTCGCTCGGGTGTGCAGCCGCGGGGTAAGCCCTACTCACCTCCAGCTTTGAGAAGCCTGTCTCTGACAAAACAAATTCCGTGCAGGAGTCAAGGGGGCCTTTCCTCATGGCCTCTCCTTTTCGGGTGAATGGGCCTTGCGCTCATCCTGCAGGGTCAGTGCCTGCATTTTACTGGAAGCGGAGTCGCTTCTTGGATTGGCACCCAAAAGGCACATCAACTACTACCGAGCAGGCTGGAGGTGCACTCAGGGGTGCAGCCTCAGGGCCTACCCTGCTCACCTCCAGCTTTGAAATGCCTTTCTGGGACAAAACAAAGTACAGGACCCTTCAGGTTGTCCAGGCCTGAAGGTGGGCCCTGTGCCCCTCGCTCTCCTTCACCTCCTAGGACAGCTGGGGAGGCTACAGACCAGTCCAGGCAGCCCTAAGCAGGCTCTCAAAGAGTCTCAAGGATGCTTCGGGGACACTGCAGCACAACCCAATAGGGTGAGGGCTCTGTGCCCCTTAGAAGGCTAGGACCCCATTCTGTGATTGGGCATGTGATATGGGCCAGTCTCTGTCACTCTGCTTCTCTGAGCACCCTGTTACCCATGAGATACAAGAGTACTGGTGACCATAACCTGGGCCCTACCCCCAAGGTGTCACAAAGATGGGATGAGTGTGGCCCCAGCAGGGCCTCACCTTGCCTCTGCCACACTCTCAGGCGATGGTATCTAGGCACCTGTGGTCAGCAAAGCCTATGCTGGACACCTGGAATCCAGCATCTGCCGCCAAACTTGCCAATGCTCCCCAGTTTCTAGATGATCATTATGGTGCATCCAATGAGGGGTCTCCCAAACCAGACAGGGAAGTGCATTTAATGAGTTAAAGAGGATTTGTTATTAATAGCTAACACAAACTGAGCACCTGCTGTGTGCCTATCCTCTTCTAATATGCAAAGTTATTTCCTTACTGATTGTGTTTGTCTCTCACTGCTCTAAAGCTCTCAAGGCCAGGAGTTGAGTCTGCTTTTTTCAGTGCTATATCACAAAGTCTGGCATACAGGAAAATGCTTGAGGTATTTGTTTTATTTTATTTTTTTGGCAGAACCAAGGATTAAACTCAGGCCCTTGCATTTGCCAGGCAAGTGCTTATTCTACTGAGTCATCACTCCAGCCCCAGATGCTTGAGTTAATTAGGGAAAATTGAATAATAGTAAAAATGCCTAATACTAGCTGAGCACCTTCTACTGAAATATATTTCACATACTTACTTGTCATCTGTTGTCAGACAATATGAAATTTTTTTTTTTGGCTCGGAGAGGCTCTTTATTTGGTGGTTGCCACCTCATTGCAGGGTCAAGCACTGCAGCAGAGTAAATATGAAATTATAGACAACATAGAATTAACATTCACAGGGGCCAGGGGTCATCTTTCTTTTTATTTCTATGTCCTTGACAGATGTAGGGTTTTTTTAATGTATTTAGTACAGGGTCTCACTACACAGATTGGACTTGTAGTGATCCTCCTGTTTTCAGCCCCCCAAGTGCTGGGATTACAGGTGTGCACCACCATGCCCAGTCTCAATCGCTGGCACAGCAAACCGGGATCAAACTCTGGTCCCTGCGACTGCCTAAGCAGGCACTTTAATTTGGGTAGGTTTTCAATAAATATATATTGAATAGTTAATCAGACTAAATTCTAATGAAAATATTTAATGGACTATATAATTCACCTAATTTCTTTACTTTATTATCTCTTCAGATACTAATATTCTTTTAGAATATGAACCCTGTGAAGCGAGAATGCTCAGAACAGGCCACCTGGGAGCTGGGATTTAATGCCCACCAAAATAAAACCCTGCCCTCCCTTTGCATTGGGAAGGGATTGTTACTGTGCAGGGGGATTTTTCTCCAATTGACAAAAATATTCTACAATTCACACTACTTCATGAATATGCTAAAAATTTGTTGAATTACACATTTTAACTGGGTGGACTGGTACATATTTGTAATCCATGCACTCAGGCCAAGGCAAGACAGTCCTTGGGAGTTCAATGCCAGCCTACACTATGTAGTAAGACCCTGTCTCAAAAAACAAGAAAAATAGGGGGGCCGGGGAGATAGCTCAGTAGAATAAACACTTGCCTGGCAAACACAAGGGCCTGAATTCAATCTCCGGTTCTGCAAAATCAATCAAACAAAAATAGAAAAAAAAAAGGGTGAACTTTATGTAATATAAACTATATCTTAATATGGGGGCTTCCTGGTTAGCTCAGTTGTTTAAGCACTTGCATGGACAAACCCAGTCAGGCTTGCAGGACTGTGGTTCGATCTCCGGCTCCATATGCTACACCACCTGCCTTAAGGCAGCCTGAGCCCGCCAAAGGAAAAAAAAGAACTGTATCTTAATAAAGCAGGGTCGGAGAGATAGCTCAGTAGAAGAAGCATTTGCCTAGCAAGTGCAAGGGCCTGAGTTCAATACCTGGTTCTGCAAATAAATAAATAAATAAAAATTAAGAAAATAAAGCTGCCTGAAAATTCCTGCCTTGGGGATGAGAGAATAGCTGAGTAGTGAACAACCCCATCACCTGGCACCAGGATTCTCAGCAAAAGAAAAAAAAAATCTCCCCTTTCACAAAATCGATTTTATAGAAGGGAGGGAGGAGAGCAACAAATGTGGTTTGGAGTTTTGGGGGTTTTTTTTTGTTTTTTGGGGGTTTTTTTGTTTCTCTGTATCAGGTATTGAACTTGGAACCCGTCTCATGGCAGGCAGGCACTTACACAGCTGAGCAGTCTCCCCAGCCCTTCCCCCACTCCCATAATGCTTGTTTTGTGCCTATCTTCTTTAGAAGGCTATTAGAAGGTGATCAGCATACAATAGGCACTCAACAAATGTTGATTCAATGCCACCAGTCCCTTCATCCACCAGTTTGTGGTGACCTCTCTCAATTGTTTTTCTTCCCTCTTCACTGACAGACCTTGCTGCTTATATCTCTTCCCTGAATTGCCTGTTTGGGGCATGGAGCTGCCACTGCCACTTCGTGATGTTACCAAGAACCTGGGCACCTGGAGCCCCAGCTCCCAGGAGGAGAGTCCTGAGGCTTCCCTATATAGCAAAGGTGTTGCCAAGAAGTTGCCTGAGTACAAGGCAGTAGTGGTCGGCACTAGTGGTGTGGGCAAGAGTGCGCTGACCATTCAGATGACCCACCAGTGCTTCGTGGAAGACCATGACCCAACCATCCAGGATTCCTACTGGAAGGAGGTAGCCCTGGACAATGGGAGCGGCTATGTTCTGAATGTGCTGGATACGGCAGGGCAAGATATCCACAAGGCCCTGCGCAACCAGTGCCTGGCAGCTGGTGACGGGGTACTGGGTGTCTTTGCCCTTGATGACCCCTCATCTCTGGACCAGCTGCAGCAGATGCGGGCCACCTGGAACCTTCGCCACACCCAACCCCTTGTCCTGGTGGGCAACAAGTGCGACCTTATGACTGCTGCTGGAGATGCACATGACACTGCTACCGTCCTCGCCCAAGCATGGGGGGTCCCCTTCGTGGAAACCTCAGCCAAGACAGGGCAAGGTGTGGAGGAAGCCTTTTCCCTGCTGATTCGTGAGATCCAGAGGGTCAAGATGGCTGTGGCAGAGGAAGAGGCACAGAGGGCCCAGCGCCAGAATGCTATTTGTAGTTGTGGCTGCTGTGTGGCTTGAAGATCTTGGTAAAGAAAAGCAGCCCCTCCCTAGGGCTATGTGGAGTTTCCTCAACAAGACACCTCAGGAGCTACTACTAGTAATATGGACACACTGCTCATGAGATAGATGGACACCTTTCTTTCATTTGGTGAGAAGCTTTTTGGTTACATGGGGGTGTCTAGTGTTGACTGTGTCACATCAATTTAAGAGATTCTGCACAAGATCAAGCTACTGGTAAAGTAGACACACTGTTCATGATTGGGGACAGATGGACACGTTTGTTTCATTTAGTTAGGAGCTTTTTGATGGCATGGGGTGTCTAGTGTTGGCAGCATCACATCAATTTAAGAGATTCTGCACAAGATTAAATAAAGAAGTTTTCAGTTTCAAAGCTGCCTCTATGCCAAGTGTTACATAGGTGGGAGTGAGGCTGGGTGGAATGTTACTTGAAGCAGGACAAGTTTTTCATTCAAGAAATTTGGGGAGCCCTCCATGTGCCAGGCCCTGCTTTGGGTACACAATGTGCAGATAATTTTTTTAATAGCCCCTTTCTCATTTTCTTCTATGCTTCTGTGTTTTTAGTTTTTGGAGATTTTTTTTTTGGTTCCAGGAATCTATCTCATAACTTTGTGCTTGCCAGGCAGGCACTGTGCAGGAGGTGAATTCTTACCATTGTGGAGGTGACAAGAGGCTGATGGTAAGGCAAGGGAAGAAACACAGTGACAGGGTCAGCCAAGGAATCCTTATGGAGCAGGTGACATTTGGATAAAAGCTTGCTGGTATCCAGGAGCAGAGGGAATAGCCAGTGCAAAACTAAAGACCACAACCCAAAGGAGCTCCTCATCCCTTGGTGCCCTTGGTCCTTGGGAGAAGGGACCCCTGGAAGATGCTAGTGTGGGCCCTGAAAGAGGCCTCAGTGCACAAAGGGCAGCTCCCAGGGGTAATGCCCTTGTCCCTATGGATGACTCCAGTGTGGAGAGAGTCAGGTGTCACTAAAGTTGAAGATCTTGGGTCCCTCTATCCCAAGAGCCACTACCAGCAATCAACCCACCAGCCCTTTAGTGGACTGCCACTCACACAAACAGAGCTGTTTCAGATGGTCTTATTGTAAGGCTAGGGGGCGGGGGTCTGGAGGTCAAAGGAGTAAATTGAGGTTGACGTGCTGGCTGGGGAGGGTGGTTGGGTGCTGGTTGGTGGGCTTCTGTGGCACGTTGGATGCAGGTGGTGCTCAGGGTGGCAGGAGACGACGCCCTGGCGCCGGGGGCGGGGGGTTCTCTAGGCGTTTCACTCGAAGCAGTGCCCCCAAAACACCTTCAGGGGGAACCTCAGGACTCAAATCCTGGTCGGCTGCGCGGCGAAGGCGACGAGGGGCGGCCCCAGCTTCAGGCTCCCCGCTTCCCGTGAGGATTCGCCCCAGCAAATACCTGCAGGGCAAAGCAGAATGCAGTGAGGATGTGCCTGTTTGTCGCCCCTACAGCCCAGGAACCTGCACAGCAACACCTTTGTAACCTGACCTTCCCCACTCTTGTCCCTGGCTCACTGCTCTCAAGAGGCGAATGTTCCCAACTCCCAAGCAGAAATGATAGCATCCTGGCTTCCCTTTCCAAGCAGAAAGCAGACCAGAGCGCACATTCTGCGATGCTCCTCTAGCTGGAGTCTACGCCTCCACACCCTCCCATCCAGGATCTCGCTCCCAACTAGGATCCAGGCTCTTCGCCACTCCGTATAACTTAGGTGTCCAAGTCATCACAGGATGACTAGTTCCTTCACCCCCTCACCCCCACTCTCGCCCTTCCAGGATGCAGTGCCTGTCCCCTCTCTGCCCCTTGCCCAGCACCTCAGCAGCTCTGGGTCCACGTCGGGTGTCTCGTCACCAGTGTCCTCCGTATCTGGGCCCGTGGGGCCATCGTCATAGACTGGGGGCCGGGGTCGGTGTGCAGCGGCCGGCGCAGGTGCGGGAACAAGCTGGGCTGCGAGGGCCGCAGGGTCCAGGCGGGCACGGAGCAGGGCGCGGGCGAGCTGCGCAGCCGGCGCGTCGGGGTCGTCATCCAGGCCGAGCGGCGTGTCGGAGGCACGGGGAGAGCCCCAGACGCGCAATAGCTGCGCCAGAACGCGTGCCTGCTGATCCTCAGCCTCCTGCGCTTCAGCCCGAGCCCGCTCCTGCCGCTCGGCTTCCAGCAGGTGCGCCAGCGCCCGCGCCAGCTCCTGCACCGCACCCGCAGCCTCTCCTCCTCTGGGCGCTGCCCGGCGGAAGCGGCGCGGGGGGCTGGCCTCAGCCATAGGCGTAGACGCTGCGTTTAGGCTGCGAGCCTCCTGAAGGAAGGTGAGGTGGGAGAGAAGATAACCGTGTCATCAGCCAGGCCAAGGACCTGCGACTCCTGGACTCCCTGAACCTCAAATACCCAAAGCCACCAAGCCCCCCTACAACAAACACCTCTAGGGCCATAGGAGAGCTCCAAGTATCTTGATATGCTTCAGATAATCCCGAAGCCCTTAGACACATCTCCAGTAATCTCCAGTAAGACCTTAGTGCTTGGAATTTGTCCTTGTGATCACTAGAGAAGAGGTTTGAAATGAAAACTGAGAAAGAATTCTCATTCATTGCTGGTGGAAATTAAATGATCAAAATTATTATTTTTGTGTGTGTGTGTGTGGTACTGAGGATTGAACTCAGGTCCTTGCACTTGCCAGGCAGGCACTTATTCTGCTGAGCTATCTCCCCGACCCCTCAAAATAATTTTGAAGAGCAACTTGGTAATGTCTAAAATGAAATACGGGGGGCCGGGGAGATGGCTCAGTAGAATAAGCACTTGCCTGGCAAGCACAAGGGCCTGAGTTCAATCCCCAGTTCCGCAAAAAAATAAAAATAAAATGAAATACGTATCCTATGACCCACTCCTAGGGTATTACACCCCAGGGTAGCTTTGAGACCTCATACTACTGGACACGAGTTTGTAAAAGCTGGCAGTAGCACTTTGTAATAGCATAAAAGTGGGAGGGGGGATAAAGGCCTGGAACAACTCAATATTCACTGACATAGATAAACTGGATGTGGTGGTGCATTCATGTAACCACAGCACTGGGAGGCTGAGGCAGGAGGACTGTTGGAGCCCAGCCTAGGCAATTTGACAAGACCCTGTCTCAAAAAAAAAAAAAAAAAAAAACAAAGAAACAATGACTGCGAAGGTAGCTCACTGCAAAAGCCCTGGCTCAATCTCAAATAACACAAAAATAAACCATATTATTCTCATAGAACATAATATAATATTATGAAGCAAAAATTATAGCCAGACACTTTAATATGAATAAATCTCACCACTAGTGTAGAGCCAATAAAAGAAGTTTGGATGAGGAGCATAACCGGTAAAGTGCTTGAATCAGGCACTTCAAGCTACAAGTACACACACACACACACACACACACACACACACACACACACACACGGCAAATTCCAGAAGCTTACTGCGGACTAAGATGACCAGACACACAAACTTGCTAGTGACCTCTAGTGACTGCCAGGAAACAGATTCTGGCTTTGATTACATTTCTATGCTGCAGATTGCTTGAAGATAGAGCATTCATATGTGAAAATTCTTATATCCAGGAGATAAATGGACAGAAAATACAGGATGGTGATTGTGAGGCCCTGAGGATACCGGGGGGACACCCTGGGGCTTCTATTACTGTCCTGTTCTATTAGTCTTTTTTATTTTTTTGGTTCCAAGAGTCAAACTCAGGCCCTTGCATTTGCCAGGCAGGCACTGTGCCACTGAGCTACATCCCTGGCCTTCTCTTTAGTCTTACGCTGAGTAATGAGTACACAGGCAATTCATTTTATCATTAGTCTTTACAACTGTACATATATTAACAAACATACAATTAAGTGTATATACATTAAATGTACAAATCTATGTACATTAAATATCTATTATATGTAAAACATTTAATAATTTGAATACTCCTCTATCTCGGATGCAGATGGCCTTGAAGAGGAAAAGGAAGAAGCTGCTCCAAGTGCCCTGGGACCACCAAGCAGCCCCTAGGGTATGACTAACAAGCACACTGTCTCTCCCTCCCTCGCACATGCACAGACCACAGACTGCCAGCCTCTGAGATGCCACATTCGTAGCTCAGCACTGCCGCATCCACACGCAGGGAACAGCACATGTTGGCTTCCACAGTTGCTCACGCATCACACTCTCCAAGGTGCAAGGACATGCAACACCTGTGAGACACAATGCAGCACAGGAACATCATGGCTTCTCTCCCCACATGACACAGCTCCACAAAGCAGCGGCCTCACAAGCACACAGTCCACTCCTTCCAAAACGAAAACAAAATCACACAGGCGGCTTAGACACATGCAAAGAAACACCATGGGCCACACCATCACACACAAAGATTCACAAACACATGGCATCACTGAGAAAGCAATCGGACCTGCAAAAACTCCACACAAAAAGCATCTCTAGCATCACATACCCTACACACCGGGACACACAATGTCACTTTTGTAGGCCACTCACTAACAAGCACATAACACCCTTACACTGCTGTCGTCCCATCAAAAGCACACACAGGACTGTGCCCACCCTTCCTGAATGCACCCTAGGGCCATGGACAGTGCCACAGGCCTCAGGCCAAGCAACAGGAGCCAGGCCTGGCCCTGGTGTGTGCCCCACACCTCCCCACTCAGACTGGCGGCCACAGCCCGGGGCGCCCTTGCTAGTCTCCCCGCAGATCCCCTGGGTGGCTCCTGCGAAGATGCAGCCCGACCTTCGGTCTCTGCATCATCTGCCCCACCCCCACCAGCGCCAGCCTGGGGTCGCACCTTTACTGGCCGCGCGCAGAGAGCGGGAGGCAGCCGAAGGAGGCTCAACAGCAGCAACACCAGAAGGCCGACGCCCCCGGCCCGCGGCCCGTGGAGCAGTGGCGACCCCGCCATGCTGCTCCAGCGAGCCGGGCTCCGGACGGGCGGGCGGACTAGCTGGCAAGTGCGCAGCGCTGGGAGAGCGACGCGGCTTGGATGCTCTGCGGCTGCGCTTTCTGCAAGCCGGGCCTCCTCCTGCCCACTGCCTCCCACTCCACGCAGGCGCAGCCTCAACTCTGGCAGCCCCTGCAGCCTGTGCGTCGCCGGGTTGATGCCCCAAGGACAAGGTGGAGAGTCTGTGACTGCAGCCGGCGGTTGCCATGGCAGTCGGAGGGCAGTTGCTAGAGCAACAGACCTTTCTGTGGATTTAGCATACAGCCAGGGAAAACTGACTCAGTAGACTGAAATGGGGTCCAGTCCCCAGCTCTCCATCGGTGAGGGAAGGATGGACTTTGTTCATTGGATAGACAACTGCCTGCTGTGGGCCCTGTAGGCATTTTGCAGAGAGATGGGTTGTGCTCCAGGGATGGACAGGACAGCAGGTTGATCGGTTCCCCCGCGCTAGTGCTCAGCCCCTGACCTGCAACAGGGAGTTTATAGTAACCCGGCATCAGAATGGCGATGGCACTAGTGGAGCCTTGGTGCACTCTTGATTGCAATCTCTCCTGGCCAGGACCTTCTCTCCACGACAGCCTCTTTCTGTCCTTTCATGTCCTTAGCTGTCCTTCATCTCCCCATCTGTGTCTCCTTAGCTCTCTTCCCTCCAAAATCCTCCCATCTCTATATTAATTTACTCTCTGCATTTGTTTTTTTATTATAGATGGATATATACAAATATTTTATCCATGTATTGTTCCAGAAAGAATTTGAAGACCTAAAAAAAATGAAGACACTTAAATGATACATCAGGGGCCAAAGTATAGCTTAGTGGTAGGGCACAATGCTTAGCATGTGTGAGGCCCTGGGTTTGATCTCCAAGGGAAAAGATATATGGCAGGAAACAAGATTTTAGCCAGGTACAATGCCACATGCCTGTAATTCCCAGTACTGGGAGGCTGAGGCAGGAGGATTACAAGCTTTAGATCTGCCTGGACAGCATTGTAAAACTCTGAATTTCAAAAATGCAAAGCAAGAAAAGGAAACAAATTTTGATAAAATATATAGATCTGGGCTGAGGATATAGCTCAGTGATACAGTGCCTTTCTGGCAAGCACAAGGTCCTGAGTTAGATTCGTAGTACTAACAAAAAATGTTTAGGTCTCTATAAAGGAAAAATGAGGAAGAAATGTTAACAGTAGTCATTTCTGAGTGGGGAAATTGTCTGTTGTTTTCTCCTTGTCTAAAAAAAGGTTATAATAAAACATGTATTAAGGGCCGGGGAGATGGCTCAGTAGAATAAGTGCTTGCTGGGCAAGTTCAAGGGCCTGAGTTCAATCCCCGGTTCTGAAAATAAATAAATAAATAAATAAATATAAATAAATAAATAAGTATTACTATTATAGTCAGATATAAACAATATACATTTTTATTTTGTAATTAAAAAAGAATGGAGACATGGGTTGGGCATGGTGGTATGTGTCTGTAATCCCAGCACTCTTGGGAGGCTGAGGCAGGAAGATTGCAAATTCCAGTCCAGTCTGAGCAATTTAGCCAAGGAGCAACCTCCCCTCACAAAATAAAAATGTTTAAAGAACTTGGGTTCATTTCAAGGTACTAAAAAATGAAATTGATGACGTGGCACAAATTGAAAATGAAGAAAAGATCCACCTGCTAGGTTCTAGCCCTAGTGTAATCTGCTAATTATGGTGGTCATCTAACATGGCTGAAGCCCTGAAAACACCAGCTTACCTTCCCAATGAGCACTTCCTCCTCCTTCTCCACTCCAGCTCTCCGTACAACTTCCTCTCACCTTCCCATACCCCCAGGAAAGACCCCCATCAGCTCCTTCCATATAACTGAAACTGCCCCTCCAACTCTGAGCCTAGCAAAAAGCCCATGAAACTCTCAGCTTTTGTCTCACGGCAGACGATTTGCCAGTCTGCTCTCGATCCTCTCCAAGTCTTTGGAGTTAAAGGCTTCTTCTGTTTTTCCTATCTCTTTACTGCACTGCTGAAAAACCTATCACCACCCAGGTGGCCCCAGCCAAGACCATATCTAGGGGCTGGTGAGATGGCTCAGTGGTCTAAAGCACCTACTTAGAACAAGCTTAGCAAAGCACAGGGACTGCGGTTCAATCCCCCAGCACCACATGCCAGCCAGCCCCACCCCCTGGTGGGCTGAGCTGCCCCCCCCACATAAATATAGTTTTTTTTTAAAAGATCAAAGACTATATCTAGTGCACAGGTCCTAAGTGCCTGCATGCGATCAGTGTCACACACATGCACTGTGAAGACCCTTACTGAGTGCCTTCTTCTGGGCCTCACCCGAAGATTAGACATCCCAAATGGTGTGATGCTCGCAAAGTCATACCTACAAATAAAGGTGAGAACCTTTATTTCTTTTCTTTTCTTTCTTTCTTTTTTCTTTCTTTTTTTTTTTTTTTTTTTTTTGGTGGAACTGGGGATTGAACTCAGACCCTTACGTTTGCCAGGGAAGCACTTATTCCACTGAGCCATCTCCCCAGCCCAAAAACCTTTATTTCTTAATTTAGTTCTGGACCAAGAGCATCTTTTACAAAAAAAAAAACTTTATTGTAATTTTTAGTGAAAAACTTTATCTTTTAACCAATGACCAAATTACTGGGGGTGTCTTCCAAGAGACTGTGGAGATTAGTGGGGACTCATTAATGAACAAAGGTTGGCCCCTCTATTCACCAACTGGAGTCCTGTCCAACAGTCTCTTCCCACTGGAAGGAATTTTTTGTTTAATTATCTTAATTTTTTAATGACCTGTGACTAAATCAATTTTTTTTTTGTTGGAACCGGGGATTGAACTCAGGCCCTTGTGCTTGCCAGGGAAGCACTTATTCTACTGAGCCATCTCCCCGGCCTAAACCAATTTTTATGTCCCTTAGATCACCTGGTAAAAGTCTAAAAATCATTTTGGGTTGATCTGAGCAGTTTGAGGTGAGCCAAATATGAAGAAATCATAGCTTGTACCCATTTGGAGGCTACCATTAGGCCTGCCATCATCTAAATGGGATGTCAAAATCAAGCAACTGTTTATCTTTCATTTTCTTTCCAGCGGAACAGGGGATTGAACTCAGGACCTTGCACTTGACAGGCAAGTGCCTATTCTACTGAGCCATCTCCCCAGCCCCTCAAGCAACTGTTTAAACCCCACTGTTTTTGTCTGTTGTTTTTTGGCAAGACCGGGGATTGAACTCAGATCCTTGTGCTTGCCAGGGAAGCACTTATTCCACTGAGCCATCTCCCCGGCCCCAACCCCACTGTTTTTAGATTGCACTCCCAATCATTATATTTGTTTGTAAAATACCAAAACTTTTTAATGCTAACTTATTTATTTAGTTAGTTAGTTAGTTAGTTAGTTAGTTATTTTGGCAGAACCGGGGATTGAACTCAGGCCCTTGCGCTTGCCAGGGAAGCGCTTGTTCCACTGAGCCATCTCCCCAGCCCCTTTAATGCTAATTTTAATTTAGGGCTGTAAAACAAACAATCTACCTTATCAGGAATCAAAAGAACTTTAATCTTCGGATTGTAAATCTTAAGTAATTTTTTTTTTTTTTTTTTTTGCGGAACTGGGGATTGAACTCACGCCCTTGCGCTTGCCAGGCAAGTGCTTGTTCTACTGAGCCATCTCCCCGGGCCCAAATCTTAAGTAATTTTTAAGGCAAACCATTTTTTATCTTTAGGATGGAAACAGCTTTTTATATCAATCACCTTAATGGGAAAGTGTAAAAGCTTCTTTTGTAGTGTCAGTTGTAATGGAGAGAGAGAACGCTCCATTTCCTGCTTTTCTGCAAGCCTCAAAGCTGTCACTATCCCTGCATATCCCTCCAGGTCAGCAGTCCCTCCTTTGTTTCTGGAGATCTGTAGCTGCCCTACCTGGATGCCATTCGCGCTTGTATTTGAAAGCCTTTAAGATGTTTTTCCGTTAACTAATTAATTTCTGTTTTTTTAACCCAATATTTCCTTTTTTAAATAATTTTAAAATTTTGTAAAACAAAGAACGACCAATTAGTTAATGCGAGAATCTGGAATAATTTAAGCAGTGTTTTGAGCAGCACTATTATCCTCGTTTCCCCTGTATAATCAGCACTGATGACACCCGGAGCAAAACCTGGAGCTGCTTTGTATTGGGGCTCCGCCTCCGGTAGCAGGCTTGCACTCAGTAGCCTCGGGGCTGAGCGAGCTGCTCCAGTGGCACCAGTCTTCTTCCCAGGAATGGGCTTTCTAGCCCACACTCCCCCTCTCCAAACAACAAAGGGCCTATGGCCCTGGAGTCATGGCCCCTGGACCCTCGCTGGGAGGAGGGTGACAGGAATGTGCGTAGCCTCTGCATGCACCCTTGGCTTTTGCTCTGGTTGCTGGTTGTCCCATTTTGCCCAGATTTCAAGCACAGGCACTATTTTGAGCCGAGTGAATTTGTGGTGCCAGAAGCCTGCACTGCGAATGCCACGGTGAGAGACTCGGTGCGCCACAATTACATCTAGACTATTATTTCCCAAGTGCCCACTCCTGTGGTTGGTAGCATGCACCAGCAGTTACAGCTGGACCAGGCACAGGGACATGCAGGCAGCTGGGAAATGCCAGCTGGGTCTGCCTCACACTGAAGCACAAGGCCCTGCCAGTAGCTGGTTGGCACCCCTCATGCCTGGTGGCACTGTGCTGCTTGCAACTAGTGGTGCGCAAATTTAAAAGATTTTTTTCTTTTTTTATGTAATTAAGCAAAGCCTGAGGGTTCAAGCTGCTTTTACTCTATTGCCTCAGGGCTGGGTGACCTGCTAGCCCTGGGACCAGGCTCCCTCACCCACACACCCTGTCTCCAAGCCACAGGGGTGCTACAGCCTTTATGTGCTGTTGTTGCTTTAGATCTCAGGGATGTTTTGGTTTTGCTCAGATTTTAAACATGGACACCATTTTTTAATTATTTATTTAGTCTTTTTGAGACAGGGTCTCACTATGCAGTTCAGGCTGGTCTTGAGCTCACTTTGTAGCCCAGGCTGGTCTCAACCATACTCTTGCC